TCTATGCTCACTGTCCATTTTATCAGCTCCACTTACTATATAGGTGCACTTTGTAGTTCTACAGTTACAGACTGTAGTCCATCTGTTTCTCTACATACTTTGTTAGACCCCTTTTACCCTGTTCTTCAAGTGGTCAGGACCCCCATGGACCCTCACAGAGCAAGTACTATTTGGGTGGTGGATCATTCTCAGCACTGCAGTAACACTGATGTGGTGGTGGTGTGTTAGTGTGTGTTGTGCTGGTATGAGTGGATCAGACACGGCAGTGCTGCTGGAGTTTTTAAACACTGTGTCCACTCACTGTCCACTCTATTAGACACTCCTACCTTGTCAGTCCACCTTGTAGATGTAAAGTCAGAGACGAAAGCTCATCTGCTGCTGCACAGTTTGTGTTGGTCATCCTCTAGTCTTTCATCAGTGGTCACAGGACGCTGCCCACAGGGCGCTGTTGGCTGGATATTTTTGGTCGGTCGACTATTCTCAGTCCAGCAGTGACAGTGAGGTGTTTAAAAACTCCAGCAGCACTGCTGTGTCTGATCCACTCAGACCAGCGCAACATACACTAACACACCACCACTATAGTCCCCTATAGATTATCTCCAGATAATCACACAGAAGTTTAAATAGTTAACAAACAATCTGTTGAAACTCAGCTGATTCTAAACAGTGGTGGGTTTAGGGTTAGGATGTGGACCAGGGTTAGGGCTAGGACCAGGGTGAGGGTTGAGTTTAGATTTTGGGCTGAGGTTAAGTTTAGGGTTAGGATTAAAGCCAGGCTTAAAGTTAAAGACTATTATGGTCAATTTAGTAGATATTAAATTGAATGTAATTTGAACGTAAATTAAGTATCTACAAAGCATCTAAAGTGGACTATCCAAATAAAGTGTTACCTTTATTTTCCTTTTAGAAATTAGCCCCATTTGCCTTGACACAGTTGTACACTCTCTTGATCATTCTCTCTAGCAGCTTCATGAGGAACCATCTGAGATGCTTATCAACACGACTATTGATAGACACATATGTTGAGACCTTGTTGATGCTGAAAACCTCTTTTTGGGGGCTTTTAAAAAGAACTGTACAGTATTGTGAAAAAGTCTTGGGCACCTAAGGATATTAAACATATTTATCTTGGTAATTAATGTTTTTTTTTTCCTAGCATAACGCTATGTGTCATTAAAACGAATGCAAATAAACATACATACACTTTAAAGTAACAAGACTGTCTTATTTTAAAAGTAGCAGGTATGTTGTGAGCTACCTCTCCCCGACGCTCCCAGCCATCACAAAGATTTATTAAATTATTTCACCAGCTGATTTAACATAATGGAGTGCTGATTGGCCAAACCAGGTTGGGATGATGACTACAGTTCATATCGAGCTTCCTCGAGGAGAGGTAGAAATGGTGAAATGAGCACAATGACGTACAAAAAATCACTACTTACTGTATTAATCTTATTTGCATTTACTGTAAAATTACTGTTCTTCTGAGCAAATAAACACTTACTGCCCAGATAAATAGCTTTTTAATTTACATGTTAACATGACATGTTTTGTAGATTTTTTAAGCGACCATGAGTGCAAATACTGTATTTCTCAAATTTTACAACAGAATTCCTGTTCATTTGCTGAATTTAGAAAAAAAGTCGCAACATAATGTGTCATAACACATTTTGTTTTTTTAATCTTCATCCAATGTGTTAAATTCAGCAAGTAAACAGTAACTGTGCATTAAAAAAAAATCATGTAATTTGACCAGGATTGTCCCAACTTTTGCATCCTACTTTATACATACACTTTCTTATTTTTTAAATTAGATTTTTGCTGGGGAAATCATTTTGTACATGTCACTATTTATGTTTAAAGAATTTCATTCTGGATAGGGTTGGAAATTTTTGAAAGGAAAAGCAGCTGATGTATAATGGAAAACACATTTTTATTTCTCTAATAAAGGTGATATTATGCATAAAACAGCACTGAAATTTCTTGCACGTCTAAAGCTCATTATCAACAACACATATCATGAAAAGAAAAGAACATTCTTGAAATGGGCCTTTAACGTGTTTTGGAATTAAACTCTTCATTTGTTTTAAGCCCTTTCTGAGATGAATTAGCTGTACGTGGGGAGGTGCTGCAATTTTAGTGATTACCTGTGACAAGACTAAAGACCTCTAAAAGCTTGTCTTGGCACAGTTCCTTTATCCTCAAGTTCAAATCAGGACTACTATAATCTACAGCACGGCTGATGGCCTAATTAGAGGGAGAAGGAAAATGAAATATCTTGAAAGTATGTCTCACAAGGCAGAGCGATTTCTGTCCTCTTGGCATATGGTAAACTGAATAAGGCCATTTTAATAGCCTAATGGTTTTCTTTGTGGCAATAACTGGATTTTAGTTTTTTTGTTTGTTTGTTTAGATCCATTTAATTTTAGTCCTAATACTAATATGAACATCCAGGATATAATGTTTTGATCTAGGCTATCTGAGGTAATTTGAGTAAAGTCAGCAGATACTTTATTCTGTATAAACTGACCAGTCAAATCCCACAAATTACATTACAGCACTCCTTCGGTCAAACTAATCCAGCCAGAATAGGGCTTTAGAAATAAATGTCATTTGGATTTAAGCATACGTTTTTAGATCAAAATGTCTTTGAGATTATGAAATATGCATATTCGGTCAGGTGTGTTCAAACCTTTGACTGGCAGTGGACATGTTATCTGAAGTGGAGGTAGGCGAAGTCCCCATATATCAGTTTTCATCTCTTTAGGGAGTCAAGTGGCTGTTTAAAATGATTCCAGCGTTTCTCAGCATTTCAACTGTTCTGATACTTATTGCACAACCATGCTTCACAGTCAGACCCAACAGTCTATTACTCTGGCCTACACTCAGCAAGAGTCATATCTCCCAACATCCTTATGGACTTCATGACTCAGTGATGATGCCTATAGCCTGAACTTGCTGATAGAACAGCACTTCATTGGTGAAGTGACATTCATGCTGTTCTGATGAGATTTGAGGCCATATAGCCTGGAGGAATCCTGCATACATTTACATGAAAAAGCTCAGGACTGAGTGTAAAGAAGTACATGGCATTTCTTTACTTTGTCCAAGGCGTTGACTACATCTCTTGCATAATGGCCAGCCTGTCTCCAAGACCACAACTAAGGATGTAACGGAGTGTAAATCTATTCAAACTGTACCTTTTTAAATTTGAAATAAAGTTTAGTCACCTTGTTTTAAAACTGTTAAACCATTATTTTCAGAGTTTAATAACTAATTTTTAGAGTTTATTTAATTTACTCACATATTTCCATTAACAAACGGAATATTCCATGGAATATCACACGTGCTATAGGCTTATGCGACGCATTTCACAAACTCAAATCTGTCCATGCAAATGGACGCCCACTGAAGTTTAGGGTTTACCCACCTTAGTTTAGCACTACATACCTGCTCATAACTACACTAACTACATTAGTTTCATAATAGTAACTGAATAATTAAAAAATGCTGCACTATGGGTATATCGCTACATATTACAAATACAATAAGCTTTGCAATATACAAAAAAAACATAACTAAATCCTTGTTGTGAAACAGCTTGTGAAAATGAGCCTGCATTACTTTGACTAAAATGATTTACATTTAGTGCATGATGTGAAAGCCTTGATTCATCTAGATGCCCAGAGATACTTTGGAACATCTGAGGTTTGTCACAATCATAGCACACAATAAAAAATAGTAAATATGATTAGTTTTTCTAGGACAGCTAGTACATACAATGTCTAAATGATCTCTACTGTTTATAAGAATGTTCTAACATTGGAAATGCTCAGCAGTTTTCATTCAGCTTTAATTAGTCAACATGAAATAGGAAATCATAACACACTTGCCTTCCATGCTGAGTGAAACACAGTAAGGGAGGGTCTCTGAGCTAGCTGAGCATTTTGTTTTGATGACAGGTGGGCATGGTGGGATTGGTTAACATTATTTTTCCACACTTGCTGATACACTATGACATCATAAAAAATCAGAAGCCGTTGTAGAGTCAGACAAAAGTCACACTTTGTTGGAAGAAAACAGTAATTTTGTCTTGTAAATGACATGATGCATGATGCACAATATGACCAGAGACATGAAACTACAAGTTAAAAAACAGATGACTTTAAGTAAAAATGCTGTGCAGATTTACTTTATAATAGTTACTGAATACAAGATCTAAAGATTAGACACCAAATGCAATTTATTTGTGTGGTTTATTCACACATTCATTGAAACACATGTATAACTGATCTCTTGCACACCCAATGTGATTTTTCAGAGGGTGAAAATTCAACATTATTTTATTCTCCTCTGCTCTATTTTAATGTTTTGTACTTTATTGGTCCTACAAGGGAAATTTGTCATTTTGCTGCCTAACTATGCCCAATCTGGGAGCAGCACAACGTCACCAGCAGAGCAGCGCTGCCTGGGGCAGTGGGGGGTTAAGTGCCTTGCCCAAGGGCACCACCAGGTATACTTAGTCAGTTGTGGGATTTGAACCTGCAACCTTCCGGTTGATGGCTCACTTCTCCTAGCACTAGGCTACTGGCCACCCCCAAAGTTTTGCCGATGGCATGAACTAAACTATACCTTGCTGTGTCTATATTTGATGAATAAAATGAAGATGATGTATCGGTTGTGTCACAGCAATCTGTACTTTTTGACAAACATCAACAGGATTAGTTTGCTTCGTCAGCAACTCAGACTAGGCTAGGGGCATCCAATCTACATGCAAAGCGCTGATAAAATTCCAGCTCCTGAATGAGTCTGTTCTTGCTTGTTTCTTGCTGTGCTCCTCTGTTCGTTTGTTTCTTTGATGGCACTAACAATGCAAAAAAGCTGCTTCCAAAAATTGAATATTTTTGTGTTGCTTATTCACGACACATTCGGTGTGTAACAGCTTTGACTCTGACAGAGCTCATTACAAAAGCACAGTTACAGTGAGAATGGATCTGTACCTGGGACACGAGCAGTTGACCCAGTCGTGAGCAGACTGTAGGGGTGACGCTCCTTTCCCGGTCAGGAATGGCACTTTAGGCAGCATGACTGGCAGATCCTCCACAGGTACCGCCACAGGACCACATGACCCACAATGCACCACGGGAATGGGTGTACCCCAGTAGCGCTGCCTCGAGATCAACCAGTCCCTCAGCTTTGAGCTGGTGAGGTGACCACCCACGTTCCTTTCTCGAGCTTTCAGGGTAATGGAGTTGAAGGCCTCTTCTCGTGTCTGACCTGTGAACTACAGAGCGGATATGAAGAGATCGCTGAGTGTTTATCATTTCACAAGGATGTAGATCTGCAGAGGCGTCATTAGAATTCTCCTTCACTGCATGTGAAGCCTGGCAAACAATCTTCTCAACATGACAACTAACAAGAACAAGAAAATCTGAAACTTTGTTCAACACCTCACTGCCAAGACGCCTATGACAGAATGACAGGAACGTAGGGATGGGAGATTGTTACCATTGTAAATGCTGTCATGATAAGCTGATAAGTATATTGTGGGTATCGTCTATTAAAATATTTAACTTCATTAATCATAAAAATACCTAGACCAATAATAGTGAGTCTGCAAACAATATAATGACAAGAAGATGTCCATTTTATCAGCTCCACTTACTGTATAGGTGCACTTTGTAGTTCTACAATTACAGACTGCAGTCCATCTGTTTCTCTGCGTACTTTGTTAGCCCACTTTTACCCTGTTCTTCAAGTGGTCAGGACCCCCATGGACCCTCACAGAGCAGGTACTATTTGGGTGGTGCATCATTCTCAGCACTGCAGTAACACTGACGTGGTGGTGGTGTGTTAGTGTGTTATGGATCAGACACAGAAGTGCTGCTGGAGTTTTTAAACCCTGTGTCCGCTCACTGTCCACTCTACTAGACACTCCTACCTTGTCAGTCCACCTTGTAGATGTAAAGTCAGAGACGAAAGCTCATCTGCTACTGCTCAGTTTGTGTTGGTCATCCTCTATTCTTTCATCAGTGGTCACAGGACGCTGTTGGCTGGATATTTTTGGTTGGTGGACTATTCTCAGTCCAGCAGTGACAGTGAGGTGTCTAAACACTCCAGCAGCACTGCTTTTAGTGCACAATTTCTATTTTTTTTTAGTTTAACATCCGGAAAAAATAAAATAATAAAAAGATAAAATGTGTCATACATTTTTCACAGGTCACATATGTTTTACCTTTTTCCCCCACTGTAAAAAATGATTTGTTAGTTCAACCTAAAAAATGATTCCATGTAGTAACAAGCAAATTTCTTTTCTCTTTTTTTCTTCTATTTTTCTCTTTCATTTCACTCATAAAAATACTTTAACTGAAACAACGATTTATTCTAAGTATTTATTTTTGTTGATTATTTAGTTGATTCACTTCATTTTGCTGGTGCTTTTTGTCCATCCCAAATTGTTTGCAACTCAACTCAAATAAACTACATATCATGACAAACTGTGTGACATGAAAATGCCTTCAAGAATTATCATGTACTATTTTTGCCACATCATCCACTCTTACTGGACTGTTGTATAAGGATGAGGGAATTCATGTCTATTCATCTTTGTCCCTCACTGAGAGAACTGTGTCTTTATGATCCCCTGACCACAAAATTCCCCATCACCCAACTAAGACTTCCGTCTGTAAGTGTGGTCTTGTTCAACAAAAAACAAAAAAAAGGCATGAGGTCATTTCAGCACTGGAGCTTGACACTGTGCTTTTCCTTCACTTTCAAGCTGTGTGTAAAGGATACTGCCCACCAGAAACACCACACAGAGTCGCACAGCAGTACAGTTATAGCACAGTTATAACACATAGAACACACTGCAGTGAGAACACTGGCAAATGTCAAGCTCAAGTTCATAGACTTGATGGAAACATTATTTTGTGAAGTTACCAGATTTGGCCTCAAACTCCTTCATTCTAAATTTGTGCAAAAAGGTTCGAGGTGAGGTTACAATGTGACATTAGCAGAGGTAACAGAACATTAGCATTTGTCTCTCTTACAGACTATAGAATGACTGTGTTTCTTGGTGTAAATATCAAGTCACGATCTACCATCAACTTTTGGGGTCTGGTTGGGAGATTAATTTAACACAGTAATAGCAAAATGGTGAATGCCACGGCATTGTCCTCAGAGAATATGAAGACGGTGAGCAACGATGCCCAAATGTCGGCAGTGATGCGCCCCTTAATTAAAAAACAATGGTTTTACGCAGCACGCGGTGGCCTTTAGATGCAGTGACAGCACAGGCTCAAGATGATTCTACACTCTACTCACACATATTTAATGGAATAAAACTATTCAATTATTTAGTGAATTTAGCGTTTCGGTATCAGCTAACTAACTCTTCACAAACTCACTGTTTCTGAGTTAACTCTGTGGACACACATTCATTAAAACAATTTTTACACTAGATTTAACGGAATAAACCTTTTAACATCATTTGGTGGATTTATCTTCAATACAATCTGCTAAGTAACTTCACAAACACATTGTTTTCAAGGTAAAATAAATAAGGTGAGGTTATGATGTGACTGAGCTAGTAATGTTAGCTAACATAAGATTAATGTTAACGGAACATTTACATTTGTTTACTGTAAAATCTATAGATTTACTCCATTGCTCTGTAAGCTTCAAGCCTATTATATTATTTTTTATGCTCTTGTTTATCAGTAATACAGTAAAATGCTTGTGAAGCACTGTGGTGCTTAGAGAAAGTGAGCAGCACTGAAAGTCATTGAGTGCTGATGCATTTCGTCGCTGAATGTTAGCGACGGTGTGCACACCTTCATTAATGTTTTTCGCAGAGCATCTGGTGTTCTTCGGCCTTTAGTGGGTTGGGAAGCTTTGGGACAGTGTATGCGTGGGTGTGTGAGTGTGAGTGCTCGGGGAGGTGGAGGCCTTGGGACAGTGTGTGTGGGTGTGCGCTTGTGAGAACAAGAGCCTCAGGACAGTGCTGGTGAGAGCATGTGTGTGTGTGTGTGTGTGTGTGTGTGTGTGTGTGTGTATGAGTGGGCAGCAGCCTCCCCTGGTGACAGGGTGCGTGTGATCAGTGTGTACCTCAGCGGAGTTGATTAGAGTGTGAGTTCCATCTTCTTCACTCTTCAGAACCGAAACCCAACTGACACCCAGATCCCTGGCCACACACACATCCTCCTCACTGCTGTCAGGAATACCTGTCTCACACACACACACACACACACACACACATTAACCGCTGACATAGAGAAACACTATGTATGTGATTAAAGTGATTCGGTCACAGAGGAGCTGTCTGCAAAGGACTCGAGTGAGACCAGCAGGGGATTCAGGTGAAGCAGAGCAGAGCATGCTGGGAAATGGTGCAAAGAATAACATGTTACATGTGTGCCTCTGTACAGTGAGAACACAAACATCCATAGGAGGACACGGGGTCATTAATACGTCCCATATGTATTACACACAGTGCTTATAAAAAACACTCATCCTCATGGACGTTTCCATGTTTTCATTATCACAGAATATCTTTTAACACTGACTCTCGTGTCAAAGTGAAAACTGACCTGTGCAAAGTGATTTAAATCAACATAATTTAAAATAGATGAATTTGTGAGTAAAAAACAAAATATCTCATTGCATAAGTATTGACCCCCTCTAATATGACTCTCCTCAATCATCACTAATGCTGCCAGTCGGTGTTAAAAGTTGCATAATTAGTTAATCACCTGTGTGCAGTCAAGAGGTTCCAAGTGACTGTAGCAGAGTGTGTGTAGTGAGGAGAGCTGCCACTCAATGGCTGCGTTCAAAATAGCCTAATACATACTGCTCTTAATTGGAGTAAGTAAATAGCCTAATACATACTGCTCTCAAAAGGAGTAAGTTGTATGCAGTATTTGACCAACATGAATTTCCACAGTATGCCAAATATAATGCACTATGAAGTTTACTACTAATGACCTACTACTCCGCCAAATTTTTCAGTATGCGGACAGAGTTGTCTTTGTAATATACTGCCTCCAAAAATGTAACCTGGTTATTTCAGGAGAACGTAACCACTGGATATTTTTAATAGCCCTGAATTTAGCCTTCTGGTACATTAACAATGACAAAATCTGTCCAAATTTGTCCAAATGCTGCTGCGCTCAGTGCAACGCTGAAGCCACACCGGTTCCATCTGAAGGTCTAGAGGTCAGTTTGCTTACTTCATATATTTAACTAACAGAGTTAACTTACTGCATAGCCAACATGGTAAAAACACAACTTACTAAAGTTGGTCTCAACCAAACAATCCATTCAGCATCAGCTTTTCAGGCTCCCGTGTGGAGTCACGCTGCTTATTATTCACTCAAACTAGCTCAAAATACCAACTACGAATGTAATGAAAATGAAATGATTTGAAATGATGAACACAGGTGTGTTTGGAAACCACACAGGTTACCACTGAGACAAACGTACACACTAAAACTAGCAACAGTTACTAAGCAGAAAATGGAGAGCTGAGGGAAATAGAGTGGGTCTTGAGATCAGTCTGACTGGTTCAGTCCTGGATGTTGGCCGGCTAGTCACACAGCTTTTGTCATATACTGGACACTGTACAGTATATTACTATGAAGAGTAGCATGCAGTATTCAGTATATTCTAATGTAGTATGCACTATACAGTACACAGCATGCTATTCCGAACACAGGAAGTCTTCTGGGTTTGTCAATTGCTAGAGGGCGCTCTTGAGTGAGCCCACAAAATTGGGTGCTATGAAGCTTTTGTGCTAAATCACAGCTTGTAAATGATTAATCATTTTATAGTGAAATATGTACTCTATCTCTGAACACAGAACAGCAAAAATATTTCAATACTGTTGTTTTTTTTTTTTGAGTGCTTCCTTAGTTACTGGACTAACACTGCACAATGCTAGTGTACTACTGCCCAAAACCTTTTTGCTGTAGAAAAAAAGGAAAGTTACTGGTTATTTTCTTTCAGTTTTTAATGGAATACATCCTTCTACTTTGCAAAATTAAAGGAAGGTCCCATAGAGATGGTTAAAAAACAGCCATTTAGCTGCATTCATTCCCATTGAGGACTCACTAGCAGGTACTTTTCGCACTGGCTCTGACTGTAGCATAAATACAACTGTGTCTGGAAAATCCAACTTCTGGTGAGTCAGTATTGTGGCATAACTTACATCATGAAAAGAAAAGAACACTTTGAGCAGCTCTCAAGGTGACTGAAAAGTCAGGGAACTGACACAAGAACATTTCCAAATCACTGAATATGCTTTAGAGTTCCGTTAAATCAAATCACTAAGAAATGGAAAAAAATGAAAAAAAGTTTGGCAAAGAAAGAGGCTGGCACAGCTGTAAATCTGCCAAGAACAGGCCGTCCACAAAAACTGGGCAAAAAGGAGACAAGTGAGGGAAAGAGTTACAGGTCTCTGTAGCTGAGATTGGAGAGACTGTGCATACAACAACTGTTGCAAAGGTGATTCACCAGTTATAGCTTTACAGGAGAGCGGCAAAAAGAAAGCCACTGTTAAATAAAACTCATATGACCTCTTGGCTACAGTTTGTCAGAAGGCATGTGGAAGACTCTGCAGTCATCTGAAAGGAACTCCATGGTCTGATGAGACCAAAATTGAGCTCACTGGTCAATGCAGATAATCATAAACACACCTGTCGCACTGTGAAGCATGGTGATGGCAGCATCATGCTGTGGGGAAGCTTTTCCACAGTGGGCTCTGGAAGGTTTGTGAAGACAGAAAGTAGAACGTACGCAGCAAAATACAGGGAAATCATGGAGAAAACCTCATACTGTTTGCAAGCCTTGCAGTCATGTGGGTTGAGAGAACGACCCCAAGCATATAGCCAAAGCTATATAGGAATGGCTTAAAAACAATATTAATGACTGGAAGTGGCAAAGCCAGAGTGCAGACCTCAATTCAATAGAGAGCTTGTGCCTGGAGGCTGTTTGCCCTGATGCCTAAGCCTCATGCAACCTGACGGAGAAGGAGAAAAATTGCAGTGCCCAAATTTGCAAAGCTAATAGGGATCTATCCAGACTCAAAGCTGTGATTGCTGCCGAAGGTGCGTCTACTAAATACTGACTTGACGGGAATAAACAGTTATGCAATCAGGTACTTTGTGTTTTATATGTGTTTTAATTTAAATCACTTTGCAGAGATCTGGTTTCAGTTTGACACAGAAGAGTGTGTTTCTCTTGATCAGGGTCAAAATAAAAAAGCAAATTAAATACACTGTGTTAATAAAACATGAAAACTGCCAAGGGGGTAAATACACGAAATTAGCAGATGATTGTCAAATAAATAATTGCAATGAACAATTTAACGGTCATTTTTTCTCAACTGAAGCAACTAATTGTTCAGCCTTCACTCAGCTCAAATTCACATAAACAAACATTACTAATAGTGTCAAGACTGTGTTGACAGGCTTACCGGTTGTGCGCCAGATAATTTTCACTGGATGTCAGAATTTTTTTCTACAACTAAATCAAGAAAAAACTGAAATACTGATCCTTGGTACTAAAATTCAGAGAACGCTGCTCCAGGCGAAGCTTGGCTCTTTTGCTTCATATATCAAACCTGAAGAATGAAACCTGGTACAAACTGTTTTATCCTGCATGTAAATGCAGTCACTAAAGTAGCTTTTCATCATTAGAGAAATTTAGCTGAAGCTTGGTCTTTTTTATCTCAAGGTGATGGAGAGAAACTTGTTCATGCATTTGTTACAAGCAGAATTACTGTAATGTTCTTTTTATTGGGCTTCCTAAGAAAATAATCTATCCTCTACAACAAAATGCAGCAGCACGGATCCTAAAAAAACAGCTATTTTTACTCCCATTTTTAGGTTTTTAAGACTCTAAATGGCCTTAATGCTCCTGCATACCTCACAGAATGTCTGTCTGTTTATATTCCAATACGTGATCTTAGATCTGCAGATACTGGCCTTCTGCAAATACCTTCTGTACAATACAGAAAACGTGGAGAGGCCTCTTTCAGTTATGCTTCTAAACTGTGGAACTCAATTCTACCTTTTATTATAAGACAATCAAGCTCAGTACACAGACTAGAATATGATATATGATTTTAATCTAGTACTCATAATTTCTTCTCATACTGTTAAGCTTCATCATCTGTCTGTAAAGCACTTTGAGCTGCCACTGGTATGAAAAGTGCTCTATAAATTATTATTATTATAGCTTTTTTTGTGTTTTGTTTTTATGTAAGATCCATGATGTGTCTCAATAAATGTATTTTCAGCCTTCTATTTTTTTTTTCACATGTATTTGCCTCAACCTAATGGGAAAAAAGCAACCAATTCACTTTCTGTTAGCTGCAACATAAACATGATTGTAATAGTACTGTGGATAACGACTGCTATCATTTCATATAATTATGTCCAGATTATTATGTAATAATTGTGACAAGCCATTAGGTAATAAGAATTTTCTAAGCCTAATCCTAACCCTCACCTCAGTAGCCAATTTTTAGAACGAGGGAGAACATTTTGGTCCTGAAAATGTACAACACACACACACACACACACACACACACACACAATTAAAATACTCTATTTTCGTTTTCAAAGAGAGTTCCTCCACACATGTAAATGCTCACCTATCAAAGTGTCCAGGTGTCCGTGAAACTCAGTCTTAGCAGAGATGACCACTGGAATCTCACGGCCGGTGAGGACGTTGAGGGCAGTGACCTCACTGAGGCAGTCTGCAGGCCAGACGTCAGCAAATGAGAGCTAATAGTCAAGTGTTAATAGCGTGTGTCCTCTCCTGATACCTCATTAACTACAACGCCTCCGGAGAGAGTAGCCCCATGCGGGACCACCAATTATAAACACAGTCAGATGTGAGCGCAATACAGCAACACCATTCTACACACACACAGCAACAAGAGAGCTACACACACACACTCACACACACACTACTAAACAATGTATAACATTAAACATGCAGAACTTCTTTAATGATCATTGTCACTTATGCTTGTTTTGAAGCATCAGAATTCTGAAAGCCATTCACACTAAGCTATGACTCACGCTTTCACATTCATGCTATGTGTGTGTGTGTCTCCCTCACTTTTCCCAGGTTGCAGTGCTCTATGCAGCGCGGGTCTCACGGGGCTGGAGCCGTGGAGAAGGCGGTGAGATGGCAGGATGGAGATGAACGCTGCTCCATATACCGCGTCAGGAGAAGAGGTGTAGGCAGCCAGCACCTCACCTGTCTCTTTCCCTTCCAGCTGAGAGGCAGAGAGGGAGGAAAACGAGAGAGAATATAGTTCAATAGCTATAACGTGAGTAAGATTAGCATCCATGCATGTCTTACAGTAGGCTTGCTTGAATTACAGAGGGAAAGCTTTATTATGAACAACATTACTTGCCAGACAATGATAACCTGTGATATTAGTTAAAATAATTCCTCTGGTCACGTCTCAACCTCTCAACAATAGAACTGTTAGACAGTTTAGAAAACAAAGCCATGTAGAGTGTATCCAAGCTTTACTTTATCATATTTATTATATATATATACTAGTTGATGAAGAGAAGTAATGTAAATAAGAAAATGTGACAATTTGGGGCAGTCTAAGGCTAGAGGTTAGGGAACCAGCCCTGTGACCAGAAGGTCGCCGGTTCAATCCCCTGAGCCGACAGTGCGGGACTGAAGTGCCAATGGGCAAGGCACCTAACCCCAACTGCTCCCTGGGCGCTGTGGATAGGGCTGCCCACTGCTCCGGGCAAGTGTGCTCACTGCCCCCTAGTGTGTGTGCATTCACTAGTGTGTATGTGGTATTTCACTGCACAGACAGGTTAGAATGCGGAGGTGAAATTTCTCCGTTGTGGGACTAATAAGGGTCACTTCATCTTAATTAACAAACTATAAAACCATAATTGGTGGGTAGCTTCCACTCAGTGCTACTCTCTTAAATAGATGGTTCTTCAAGGACTCTTTAGCAAAGAAAATGGTTCTATATAGAACCATGAACACTAAAAGAACATGATTAAAGGGTTCTTTGCATCATGAAAGCATTCTGCAGATTGATGGAGAATGTGTTGTACATGGTTCTATATAGAAACTTTTTTGAAAAGTGTTGTATGTTCTATATACAACACTTTTCAAAAAAGTTTCTATATAGAACACAAATGGGTTCTTCTATTATTACAAGCTTGACATTGTAATGATAGAAGAACCTTTTTGGGTGCTATACAGAACCCCTTTCAAAAAGATTTTATATAGAACCATTAACAGCAACTATATTATCTGCCACCAGGCACAGGCTTCCTAGACCACCTACATAGACAGCTAACTTGAGGCTATTTACTTATTTGAATCATGAGACCCATTAACAAAACATTATCACGGATTCAGTTCTCTCCTCACGTGCTGACACTTTCAATCTAAGATGGCTGCCGGTAACAGGAATGCAATAATTGTCTGTCCAAACTTTTTTAATGCAAAATAAGTCCTAATAAGGCAAAAAAATGTTTTATATATGTTTATATTTATAAAACGGATAGTTCTGGTCCTAAAATCTGATTGGCTGAGCCGCGTTTGAAGCCGCTGTGAAATCCACGATATACCCACACCTATGACCGCCTCACAACAACTGAACTCTGTATTACTGCGCCACTGCACAAAAAAACCTTGTGCTGCTAATGGAACAGTCTTTGACTCTCATGCCGCTCACATGGACCACCGAGTATATTGATGAAGGAAGAACCCGCTTTTGTTTAAACTGAGGGACTTGCGACTTATGTTCTTAACTAGAACTAGGTTGGTCAGCTAGCTAACAAGCTAAAAGCTGGCTAACAGCCTAAACAACTCCACCATTAATATCACAGGCTTGAATTACAGTATAATCAACTGGAAAACAGCAGTATAAAAGTCTAAAAAAGTGTCACTTAAATGGCCTACACACTTCAAATGTTCGTGTTTCAGAGTCAAACCCAGGCTAAATCCCAAACGGCTCTGTGTTCCCTAAATAGTGTGCTATGAAAGTGTAGAAATTCTAGCCTCTACAGTCAAATAGTGCATCATTTATCAAGTATGTATGTGTCTGAGTCCCAAATGACTATTTCTTTGCTGTATTTTGCACCGTTGGGGTGCAGGATCCAGTATTTAAACTGCAACGTAGTGCACTATGTAGGGAGCAGAGAGCCATTTTAGATTCAGCCCCAGCACAAGAAGAGAGCGCTGCTAGATTAAAATAAGACTTGTGGTGGTAATTTGGTGACCAAAAAGTACTTATAAAGGGAAGGGTTTTGAATTAAATAGTGCTGTGTTATCATATGTTCATTGTTATACGACAAAACATTAAAACAATTAACAAAATAACCGCAATATACAGCGATGGACTACCGAACGTTCTCCTCATTCAGTGGTCCATGGTTGCTTGGCAATGATACCATACTCTAAAGGAACTACATATCTTGGCGGAATACTTGTTTATGTCGATTATTATTAATAGTAACTTAAATTATTTTCTGAAAAGTTGTGTATTTTATCACATTTTATGCTGGCCGCCGTTTTATAAAAGCAATAAGCCAGACCGTGCGTTACTGCAATTTTATGATAAAACTTTAATTGCTTTAATAAGTAGGGAGTTATATACATATATAGAAGAGGTGGGGGAGGTAGAAGGGCACTGACAATTCAAAACTCATTCTTTACACATATGGACAATTCTGTGATATTTTACATTTATATTTCTATGATTCTTATATTTTTATGTTGTTCTGAGTACAAAATCTTAAAAAAAATCTGTATTTTTTAATGTAATTTATTATGCATTAAGGGTTAGATGAACACAGGTTTGGTTCTTTTTTTCCCCTCAATGTACTCCAGCCACTGTACGGATCTATTAAATCCCATTAGCAGCACACTTGATTTAATTTGAAGAAGGACTGATTAGATGAAGCAGGTATTGGATGGTATCTGCAACTACTGGACTTCCTTGAGAAGAGCTTTGGAAACAGTTAAGCCAATAGCAAATACATGCTTACTGCCCAGATAAAAACCTTTATATATCATTTTCTCTGCTGGCTTAAGATTCTGCACAGGACTGCTTTGGATGCTATCTAAGAGCAGGCATGACAATGCTGCCCATCTAATCTGTCTCTGCACAGCTTTTCCAAAACAAGTGCTTTAGTAGTGCTTTTCCTCAGCAGCCACACACTCAGCACACCTACACACTGTCCTAGCTCACCCTCTCTGGAAATGAAATTAAGGATTTAATAAGCAAGGCCACTGCTAAGTGAACATATTTCCTCTCATAACGAGAGAGACAGAAAAGCATAGATAACACAGATAGACCAGATAACCCTAAGCTGAAGCTCACACAAAGCCTTAAAATGCAGAAAATGTAATAAAATATTTCAGATGTCATTATGCAAATTCATACGCACAGACAGAGACTACAGTCTTCAGCCAAACACCGCTCTGAAAATTACGAGGAATATGAAAATGAAGTAAGTAGAAAGAAAGGCCGCTGTGTTTGAGCGAAGCTAATGTCACTCACCTTCAGCACGTGGTCGAAATAGCAGCCTGAGCATTCTCCGATCCAGTTGGCCTGCATCCCTTTCACACCGTACCACTCGGGGAGATCCGCCAAGGCGTCCAAGAGAGGCTGCAAGACAAAAACACAAAAATACAAGCATGATATAGCACATTCAGAATGTAATCACGTTTCAAACCTCACTTTCAAAGGGAAAGTCCATCTTTTACACATCTCTGCATAATTTTATTGTTAAGATAGGAGAAAATGACCAACTCACAGTACTGTGCAAAAGTCAGAGAACATCTTTCATTTATTTAATTTCCAGTCAAAACAGACATCAAGTACAAGATTTTTATCATATTTCTAAAGATAATTAGATAAATTAGACAAATGACGATCCACTTATAAACCCTACTTTGACCTGTGCTTGAACATAAACAGTACAAGGGCAAAATCCTTAAGGTTTTATCAGCTTCATTACTATTTTTAATAAATATACATAAATTCTAACATTTCTGCCTGCAACACCAGAAAAATTCCAGCATTCCAGAAAAATTGGGACAGGGGCAATTTAAGGCTAGGACCATTGTGAAGTGTTGAAAAATGATCTTAAATAGGTGATGCAATCATGCATGGATATAAAAGGAGCATCCAGGAAAGGCCTAGTCCGAGGCTCGCCACTTTGCCAAAAACGCATCAGCAATGATGCAACAGTTTCAGAATAACATTCCTCAGCGAGGGATTGCAAGAATTCTAGGTATTTCACCCTCTACAGGGCACAGTATCATCAAAACATTAGAGAATCTGGAAAACTCTGTGTGTAAAGGGCAAGGCTGAAAGCCATAAATGAATGCCCATGACCTTCGACCTCTCAGATGGCACTGCATTAACCTTCCTGTTATTTTCAAATTTACTAACATCTTTTGTCCTTGGGTCAGTGTTCTGGTGGGAATTATGTCCCCCCTCCCACATTTACACTGCAATACTACTTTCAGAGTATTCATGGAAATAATGGACGCTGCATTCTCTGGGCCGAAAAGAGAAGGACCATCCAGAATGTTAGCAGTGTAAAGCCAGGGTCTGTCATGGTGTGGGGTGGTTTATGGTTAACCTGCATATCTGTGAAGGCATAATGCTGAACACATTCTGGAGCAACATATGCCGCCTTCTAGATGTCTTATAAGAGACATTAATACTTATTTCAACATGACAACACTAAGCCGTATTCTGCACATTACAACAGCATGGCTGCATAATCAGAATGCAGGTGCTAGAATGGCCTGCCTGCAATCCAGAACTGTATTGGATTGAAATTGTGTGTGTTACTAAACTCAAAATCCACCACAGTAGCACAGCTGAAGACTTGTATAACATCAGAATGACTGGATCAGTTTGAGTTTTCAGTCTCTGAACATTTATTAAGTGCTGTTAAAGGAAAGGTGATGTAACACAGTGGTAAACATGCTCCGGTCCCAACTTCTTTTGGAATGTGTTGCATGCATCAATTTGGAATAAGCATATATAATTTTGTGTGTTTGGACCATTTCCAAACAAGTCCTGACTCCTAACAACTGTGAAAATCTGGAAGCCCACCAAAACTGTCACCATCAGCACTTAAAGCGTCTATCTTCGAGAGAGAGGGGAAAATCAAGCTCCACTCTTGCTTTGTATCTGTAAAAATTCACAGGTGTTTCTGTCCATCCTTCCACTGTGAGAAGACAACTCAACACTATGTGTCTGAAAAGCATGTGTAGCTGTCAAGAAGCTGTTACTGAGAAAAGTGAATAGACCAAATCTGCTTCTTTCCCTTTGCAAATCAAACAAAGATCCCACTGGTTCTCTTAGAACAATGGACTCACCAACCCAGAGTCCAGAACTCAACAGCACAAAGTGTTTGGGATTACTTGGATTGTGAGAAGCAGAAAATGCAACCAATATATGAAATGAAATATAGCCATTTTATTTACTACTCAAAACTACATGTGTCTGAGTTTTTACATGCAATGTTGATTACGGTGAAACAGTGGTACATCTGGAAAAAAAAAAGATTTCTTCGGGTACTACTTTGCATATTTTTCTAACTACAGGTATCTGGTCACCATGAACAGATTAGAAAATATATGTTTTAGGTAAAAACTATAAAACTATTATAAAACAATGTCTCAGCCATATTTGTAGCCATTTCACATAATAACTGTCTATGATGCAGGAGCTTCAGACGTCTGGTTCCTATCACCACCACTGTGAACAACTCTGCCCCTGTAAGTTTCTCGAGAATGGAACGTTCCACATCAGACAACTCAATGACTTTGTTTAAATTTTAGTAATTTAATTATACAGAAATTTTGAAACAAATGGTGGAATTCCTTTTTAGCTTGGTTCAAAAGTTACAGGTAATTCTGGTTAATGGTAACATGTGTGAAGTGCCTGAGCTGCAGTTTTATTTCAGAGTTCATGATCTTTGTACAATCGACTGAATAATATCGCTCACACCCGGCAGCGTAACCAAAGCACAGCCAGTTTACTGGCACAAAGTAGCTGAGTGACTGATGTCATATTTAATGAGGAGAGAGGCTCACAAAGCCCACACTGACATCCAGCCCACTCCCCTCCTGTTCTCTTTCGTAAGCCAGAAAAAAGCTCATGTAACGGCAGATTTCACAGATGCGAGTCTGTATTACTGTCCTTGTATGAACTTTCACTGACTTGTGTAATATGGTAGCTGAGTAATGCTACGTCTACTCTTAAACCTTAAAGGGCCCATACATGCTCACACTGTCTTTATCTAACATTCAATTAAATACATATATATTAAATGCATGTACATCCACTGGCCACTTCATTATTTACACGTCCTGTGTCTTTGTATCTACATTCTTCGTCCATTTTATCAGCTCCACTCACCACACAGGTTTAGTCCTAGTTTTATTTAATTTCAATTAATTTCTCTGCATACTTTGTTAGCCCCTTTTACCCTGTTATTCAATAGTTAGGACCCCCACATGACCACCACAGAGCAGGTATTATTTGGGTGGTGGATCATTCTCAGCACTGCAGCAACACTGATGTGGTGGTGCTGTGTTAGTGTGTGTTGTGCTGGTACGAGTGGATCAGACACAGCAGTGCTGCTGGAGTACTACTTTGTTGGTCCACCTTGTAGATGTAAGTAGCTCATCTGTTGCTGCACAGTTTGTGTTAGTCATCCTCTGGTCCTTCACCAGTGGTCACAGGATGCTGTTGGCTGGATATTTTTGGTTGGTGGACTATTCTCAGTCCAGCAGTGACACTGAGGTGTTTAAAAACTCCAGCAGCACTGCTGTGTCTGATCCACTCACACCAGCACAACACACACTAACACAGCACCACCACGTCAGTGTTATTGCAGTGCTGAGAATGATCCACCTTTCTAGATAATACCTGCTCTGCGGTGGTCCTGTGGGGTTCCTGACCACCGAAGAACAGGGCAAAAGTGGGCTAACAAAGTATGCAGAGAAACAGTAAGTAGAGCTGATGAACAGGCAGAGAGTGTGAATACAAATAAAAGTACTTAATAAGGTGACTGGCTGGTGTAAGCTGTACATACACACACATATATATATATATATATATTAACTGAACCTAACCTTAAACTTTAACCTAACCCACTGTAACCTTAACCAAAACCTAAAACTAATCAAAAAACCCAACCCTAATTGTGTGCGATTTGTCCCCCGATGTCATTTTAGGACATTTATGTACCAACAACATTCACGATTAATTTTACATAACCGTTTTCCAACCGCTGTTTATGCTTTGTTAACACCAAGATTCAAACAGGCTGTTTCTGTTACTGTTACTGTTATTGTAGGACTGATAGGCTGCACTGTATTTGGCCTCATTCAACAGGCAGTTCAGCCTAAAACACTTTTTACATTTTCTGCATACATGGGTGGATATGGATCATTCTACCAAATTGGTTCAAGAACACATTTCTTTAAACTAATGTGGACTTCAGACTGAAATTCTTTTGCTCTGAATGACTCTATACCTGAACTACATTTATTTTATTGAAAAAAGTTATTAAATATATCATTTTGTCACCACCAAAAACACTTTGCTAAATATTTTGGTAGCATTTTGGTCATTTTAGCTCCTTTTGTGCATATCTCAAAAACGCTAGCCAGGACATGACTAGCAAAAACAGCTTTGAACAGCTGTATACATAAAATCACCATATTTATCATTAAAACACGAAAGTTTACGTAATTGCAGAAAATGTGTGTTTCTTTAGCTACAGTGTATAATGTTACACACTGATTTTCAGACTTTGGGACACATTTACTTCAAAACAGTGGGATCTAACTACTCACCATGTGACCATGACAGGGATGCAGTCTGAAATGCAGGAGTGTGGCTAAAATAAGGCTCCATCTATAAACTAAAACTTTATGTTTCTAGTGGTGACATTAAAACGTAGGACAGCGTTTTTTGAATAAAGTTTTCATTTAAAAATAAAACTCATGACAGGTAATTCCTTCAACTTCACTTTAAAAAATGTAAGTATTCCTTTCACAAATTGAAAAGTTAGGGTTTGGGACAGACACCCCACAAAAGAAAGTACCATATAAATGGTGATTTTGTGTATATTTAGCTTCTTACTATTTCCAATAATGCCTTTGGTTTAAATATATCATAATATTATCCTTATCTTATATATCTAAAGTCTGAATATGTAATTGTTTTTTATAAATAGATGTTTTGTTTTGTTTTTTTTACCGTGGGTCAAAATTTTGAGCAATTCTGGCAGAATGGTCCATATATTTAAATGTACAATTTTTTGTGATATCACAAAACAACAAATAAAACAGGTTGTTTTTGCAGCTTAGTTCACATGTACAGACAGTATGAACTGGAGAGTGAATGGCAGGTCCCAAAACTTTAACAATGTTTACATACTACTGAGATTGTTCTCAGTTTCAACATTGTGTCCTGGCATGGAAGCCTTTCAGTTAAGGCCCAGGTGGTCAACCAGGCCAGTAAAATCATTGGAGACAAACAACTGTCACTCCAGAACCTCAGATCTACAACGACCCAACCCACCATTTTCATTCATCATTCCAGCAGCTGCCATCGGGCAGGAGATTTAAGTC